TTTGTGTTCTGCCCACCAGCCCACAAAACATAAAGTCCATTACAAAATTACAGCCCTTTAAGAAGAATCTTGTCTGCCATCTGCTGGACACTTTTTGTTGTGCTCATATTTAGACATCCTATTTTGCAAATGCTGCCTTCCTGAAATTTGGTATGCTTGTTTGTCTTTGTGTCTATGGTGTAAAATGCTGTGATTGTGATGCTGTATTTCTGAGTGTTTTATGTGCTGCAGAACAGGAACCTGCTGTAAAACAGCAATTATGCTGAGTCAGGCTTGATTTTTAGTATTTTTTCCTGTTAAATCAATAAATCAAATCAAATCAAATCAAACTGCATAAATCAAACACAACTGGTAAAGTAATTTTACTTTGATTGCAGCAGGCTCATCAGCAAGTGTAGATTACCTTATTCTAATTGTAATAATCATATAATAAGTTTAAGTAGTTACAGAACCTGACAATTAATTTTTACCAATTAATCAGCAAAATATTCAATGGAATAATCAATTACTAAAAAAATTGTTGGCTGCAGCCCTTGTTACCACATTGTCTTTAATCATTCATTCAGTAAATCAAAATCATATTTACTGAATTATTAAATGTTGAGCAACAGGAACACTCAAAACAAATGACAATAGCTTCTACGGACTAAATGCTTCAAGAAAAAACAAATACAAAATATTATTTGAAAGTAAAAACAATGCACACATAAATGACTTCAGAAAAACAATCTAATTCTATAATTCATCTAAAATGGCAAAATGCTTTTAAAACCACACAAGCACAGCCTCCTTTGATACTGTTACATAAAATATTGCCCACATGGACAGAGTCCTACCTGTGTCACCTTCTCTGTGACATTGTGTGTCCGGTCAATGAGTTTGCAGGGTGCTATGATATCCATCTCCCCAGAGGGCAGAGCAATGAGGGGGTCTGGTTTGAAATCCACAAAATTGAGAGTGATTTGAGGGATTTTGGAAATAGTGCGATACTGCATGAGGTCAGAGTCTGAAGTAGAGTTCAACATGTTTGACTTGCAGTTTACTGCACCTGTTAACACAAACATATAGAAAATATATTTCTAAACAAAATGAACAGTGCAGAAGTAATTTGTTTTAACGCGTCTTCTTTCTTTCTTTTTTCTTTTTTTTTACCAGTGCTGCTGCTGGCTGGCCGAAGGCTTGGTCTCCGGTTCTTTCGGTCCCATTCTGGCCTCATGGCCTCTATCTCATCCACAGAAGAAGCCCGACGCATGCTGTAGAAGCTTTCCCGTGAGCGGCTGTGTGTCAGAGAACAGTTTGAGCCTGAGCCGTCAGGGTTCAGACTGAGCCGGAGGCTGGGCAATGCACAAGAAGAGGACTGGTTGAAGGGAGCGACCAGGTGGGCTTCGGGGGGAGGTAGTGAAGGAGGTGACACTGGAGGCTCAGCACACAGTAAGGTGCGCCGGTCCTCCTGGCAGTCTTCTGACCATTTCTGATGCATTGACCTAGAAATTTGAAATTGAATTAAACAATATGATGCCATGTAACAAAAATGAAAATAGAACCAAATCTGGATGACAAGAATACCATATATGGAAAATCTGTTTATGGTTCTTTGGTTTTTCAGTTTCAAAACAAAATTGCAAAATGAAAACAACCGTGTTGATCTATTTATTTATTTTGTTTTTAAAACCAAAATGAAAAATGTAAAATCAGTGATTGAAAATCTTCAATGTTTGATTTTTTTCTGTTGTATAAATCCAAAATAAATATGCAGTTGTTCAGTTGTTTTAATATCATACAGATTGCAGAAATGACAGATGTCGCTAAAGAAGAAGAGTTCATAGTGGTTGGAAAACTGCTTAAAGGAGACATATCATGCTAAATGCACTGTTTTTGCATTTAGAAACTATTTTTGTGCAATTATAGTGTCTAGGAGAGTAGAAAACTTAAATTTATTCTGTCCAGTTACTGCAAAGATATTTTTATATTTTTTATGGGTCAAATTTTTCAGTTTGTTCAAAATCTGCTGTTGCTTATTTCATTTCATTGTTTATTTCGTCACACTTTTTTCTTTGGAACGACATTTATGGTAATGTATATCGGCCAATTGGATTTCATAGTCCGCCATTTTTTTCCTCGCTGTGTGATTTTGTGGTTCATAGCGTCATGCCGAATATGCAAGTTCAGAAGTCAAAATGTTCAGTTCTGGGGTGTGTAAACCCACATTATTATCTACATAGACTACCAGCGTCAGAGCTTCTTCAAAGTGCCTGGTTAAGTCTTATTTTTCAAGGAAATGGACCCACAACAGGGCGGAAAGTGCTTGCGGACAACACAGGATGAATGTTACAACAACAGGGTGAGTTATGAACTGTAAATGTTTTTAACTGTCTAATTTAGCTGTTTCTACACTCTGTGTCACAATATGAGGGGAGAAAGAACAGCTGTGTTTAAGTTTGTTTACGGAACGGGTGCGCTGCGACATGTTTTACTTTCACTTTCGCCCCGCACTGTCATCAGCGTGTCCGTGTTGTTTTTCTTTTTAAAAATGCTGGAGCATTTCAAACTGTGATCTAAAGTTAAC